GGAGCCCCCTGTGGGAGTGACCTGGAGCCCCCTGTGGGAGTGACCTGGAGCCCCCTGAGGGAGTGACCTGGAGCCCCCTGTGGGAGTGACCTGGAGCCCCCTGTGGGAGTGACCTGGAGCCCCCTGTGGGAGTGACCTGGAGCCTCGCCAAAACTTACTCTTCTCTTCGGAAATCATTTCCGACATTCGGAGCATCTGTGAGGTGTCGCTTCGTTGTGCAGGTTCTGGTGATCGCCATCGTAGGTGAAGTTCTTCCCACATACAGTACATTCATGATGCAGCTCCTCTGCTGAGACTTTTGGAACTGGTGCTCGTACTTCCTGGCTGTCCTCTTTTCCTCTATTTTTGGAATAAGCAAATTTTTCCAGCCGAGCCCGGAGTGATAGTTCTGGAGTATTTTTCTCCTTCGTTTCCTTCTCTCCGATGTTCTCGTTCATTTTCATCTCTCCTATGTTCTCCTTCGTATCCTTCTCTCCGGTGTTCTCCTTCGATTCCTTCTCTCCGGTGTTCTCCTTCGTTTCCTTCTCTCCAATGTTCTCCTGTGTTTCCTTCTCTCCAATGTTCTCCTTCATTTCCTTCTCTCCAATGTTCTCCTGTGTTTCCTTCTCTCCAACGTTCTCCTTCGTTTTCTTCTCTCCAACGTTCTCCTTCGTTTTCTTCTCTCCAATGTTCTCCTTCATGCATTTTCCCATTTTCTGGCGTTTCTCAGCTGCTTTTTGCCTTTGCTGACGCTTGTAATTGCGCCATTGTTTCCGCAACGCTGCTATGTTCGATGTGGTTAGTGCCGGCGAATGACGACCTATCTTTTTCAGCTGGACTTGAGTGGTTTTCTTTGGTTCCTCATAACCTGTTGAGACAAAGGAACAGCCTAAATGTGAGATGGCCAGGAAAAAAAGGGGTGTCTCACAACTTTAAGAGGTAGGAACTTCAATTCCCAGAATTCCCCAGTCGGCATGCCTGAGAAACACTGGCCTAATGGAACTTTCTATTAATAGCAATAGCACTTATACAACACTCTACAGCAGGGGTCCCCAACCGCCGGTCCGCGGACCGGTACCGGTCCGCGGAACAAGTCTTACCGGGCCGCTGGTTGCTGGGCGCCGCCATCTTTTTTGACGAAAAAGTGCTTCCGATGAGGTCACCGGAAGCACTTTTTCGTCAAAAAAAGATGGCGGCGCCCAGTTGATGCCGGTACCGGGCCGCGGCGCCCAGCTGATGCCGGTACCGGGCCGCGGCGTCAAAAAGGTTGGGGATCACTGCTCTACAGGGCTTTTACAGCCCTCTCTAAGCGTTTTATAGAGTCAGCATATTGCCCCCGCAACAGTCTGGGTCCTCATTTTACCCACCTCGGAAGGATGGAAGGCTGAGTCAACCTTGAGCAAGTAAGACTCGAACTGCTGGCAGTGGGCAGAATTAGCCTGCAATATTGCATTCTAACCACTGCACCACATAAATACAGGCAAGAAAGCGTAACATTTCCAAAATAATGTTACTTGTAGCATTGTAACATCTGAAAGGGGATGTTTTAAATTTCTATTAGACTTTCAAAAATTATACTATACAGTTCAGTATGAAGCTTCTTAAATATATTAAAAGGTAAAGGTTCCCCTCGCTCATACGTGCTAGTCGTTTCCGGTTCTAGGGGGCAGCATTGCTCATCTCCGTTACAAAGCCAAAGTGCCAGCACTGTCCAAAGACATCTCCGTGGTCATGTGGCCGGCATGACTAAACACCAAAGGCGCACAGAACGCTGTTACCTTCCCGCCAAAGGGGTCCCTATTTTTCTACTTGCGTTTTTTACATGCTTTCGAACTGCTAGGTTGGCAGAAGCTGGGACAAGTAACGGGAGCTCACTCTATTACGGGGTGCTAGGGAATCGAACCGCCGACCTTTCTGATCGACAAGCTCAGCATCTTAGTCACCGAGCCACCGCGTCCCTTCATTAAGTACATTAGTCCTGTGTGATTAGCCCTGTCCATTCTTCATTTCCACCAGCTGTATTTCATGCAGAATATCTATCTATCTGGTCTCTTAATGACCTGATGGCATGTACAGGTAGTCCTTGACTTATGACCACAACGTGGGCCAAAATCATTAAGTGACTCATGTCCAATTTTACACCATTTGCCACAATTGATCAATCACTTTCATTTCCCCAAAACCAAATTCAGTAAAGTCAAACACCTGTTTTAAACATATGTTGTTATTCATCTATCCAATCTCTATGGCTGCCCAACTCAAACAAGTGACTCCTTACAAATTATTTGTATACAGCCGTTAGTATAATTTTTAAATCTGAATTTTCAATTTAAAACAAGGTGGATTATTTTAGGGAGCTTTTTTCTTGTGAAGAAAATTTCAGGCAGTCCTTGACTTACGACCACAATTGAGCCAAAATTTCTGTGGCTCAGTGAAACATCTGCTAAATGAATTCCCCCACCCCCCACCCCCATTTTATGGCTTTTTTTACCACGGTTGCTAAGTGAATCTGGCTTCCCCAAATTGACATATGCGTAGCCATCTTATTTAGCTCTATCGTATATTCCTTTTCTTTTTTCCTCTTTGCTAGTTACGGGGGGGGGGGGTGTTGGGCTTGCCACATTCCTAAGGTGGGAGGAGTGGAGATAGTGAGGGTGGTTCTTCTTCCCATGGGAACAGAAACTGACCCTGATGAGACCTGGAGGTGGAGATCGATGACACCAGGAAACGTTGATTTACTTCTATTGGGGAATGTGGCTTTTGGGGGCTGTTTCTAACTTCCAATATTGTGTGGTGTAATTCCGGGTTGTGTCAGATCCGGAATTACAACAGACTTTGCCAATTTATATATTGACTGTTTCCTAGTATGATTGATTGCTTATTGTACCCTATGACTATCATTAAGTGTTGTACCTGATGATTCTTGACTCTTGACGAATGTATCTTTTCTTTTACGTATACTGAGAGCATCTGCACCAAGACAAATTCCTTGTGGATCCAATCACACTTGGCCAATAAAGAATTCTATTCTATTCTATTCTATTCTATTCTATTCTATTCTATTCTATTCTACTTTATTGTCTATCTCTATCTATCCATCCATCTAATCTACCTTCCTATTATCTATATCTATCCATCCATCCATCCATCTAATCTACCTATCTACCTACCTATCATCTACCTATCTCTATCCTATCTATCCATCCACCCCTCAAATCTACTTACCTATATACCCATCCAGCTATCTACCTATTCTCTCTCCCTCCATCCCTATTCTGCACTACTATTACTATTAACCTTCTCATCACTCCTTATCACCCATCCCCTCCCGCTTGTGACTGTATGACTGTAACTTTGTCGCTTGTATCCTTATGATTTATATTGACTGTTTCCTAGTATGATTTGATTGCTTTCAATGGTCACTCCACACAACCAAAGTACCAGCAAAGGAGGGGGGGAAAAACTCCAGAGAGGTTCCTGAGACAGGAAGTCTAGTCCTGCCAAGAATGTAATAAGGGTTAACAGAGAGGCAGTTTCTGTAAGCAACACCAGAATGTTTCCTTCCTGCCTTCCTTACAGGATTAGCCCAGTAATTTCTTCTAACAACCGGTTCTCCGAACTGCTTAGAATGTTAACAACCGGTTCTAGCAAATAGGTAGCGAACCTGTAGAATCCCACCCCTATATATAGCTGAGCGAGAACTACGGGTTTACACTTAAATCAACAAAGGGTTCAAAATCAGGCACTCACTTCTGTTTATCTCCTTATCGTGTGTGAAAGAGGGCCGTCGGATCCTAAACTCTTCATTGTTAAGGCTGTGGATTCGCTTATGCCTGGAAAGATTGGAGCTCCTCTTGAAATCTTTCCCACACTCGTCACATATGTAAGAGGTCTCCCTTTCTCCCGCGTGGGCTCTCATATGCAGGAGGTGAGTGGACAATTTATAGGTTTTGTGTCCGCATTTGGAGCAGGTGTATTTCCTCTCACCTTGGGGGGCTTTTAGCCTCTTCATGGGTTTCTTCCCCGGCTTGTGTGTTTTCAGATGAAGTTTGAGGAAGGAAGGTTGGACGAAGATTTTCTCGCAATCCGGGCACTTGTAAGGCTTCCCGTTTGGGTGAGCCCTTTTGTGACGCATGAGATCCGACAGGTAATAGGTACGATGCCCGCAATCCAGACACAAGTGTTTCTTCTCGAGACCTTCGTACCGGTTTTTTTTCACCTTCTCTCTGTGAGGGATGGCTTGGCCTTTTCCATTCCGTTCCCTGGAACGGAAGGGAAGCAAGGAGGCCTCCAACCGGGAAGCCGCAGAACTTGGAGGAGCGGCAGATGGGGAGCGTTTGGATGACCTCTTTGGGCCATTCTGCAAGCCCGCTTCTTGCCGTCCTGGAGGCTTCTTCCCTAAGAAATTGATCAACTCCTCATCATCTGTGGGGGGAAAACAGAAATTATTCAGATTGTGGAAAATAGTTTGGGGGGGGGGGAGAGACAAAACCGAGCCCTGTTCCTACTTCAGATTTAATCATTCGTTAAAGCAGCAGCCAGGGATTTTCAAGTTCATCTCTGCAGCCAAAATAACCTTAACAAGGAAAGAAATGTATTTTCTTACTCTGCCGTCAGGCCCAGAGTTTATATTTGACTCCACTGCCCTTGAACTCAAAACCCTTCCTCTGACTTCCCTGTGCAGGCTTTTCTTCTGAAACTTCTAAGAACAGAGTGGAGTTTTGCTGGATAGAAACTGCATTAAATGGCTCTGAGAATGATTCTAATGTTGAATTCCCATTGCACACCGCATCTTTATGTGGATGGACAGTTCCCACCAATCGCACAGGTCACAACCACACCAAGGTATGAAACTCAGTCTAGCCATACATAAACCAAGAGGAGGACGGGTGGCAGCTACGGCCCCTTTACAACCTGTGGTCTTCAACTCCCAGAATTCCTGAGCCAGTTGTCAAAGGGCTGTTATCCCAAAGGTGCTTTTTCGGGAGGCAACTGGACTTTCTGGTCTTTCTCTGAAGACGTTCTCGCTTCTCATCCAAGAAGCTTCTTCAGCTCTGACTGAAGGGATTTTTATATCCCTTGCAGACAGCTGGTCGTTGGCATCCTTTTAAAGAGTCATTGATGCCACTTGGAGGTTTGTTAATGTCCCCAAGGTCACCCAATTAGTGCAAATAGGCGGGGAGCCTCCTTGGAATTGTTGAAAGGATTGTGTTGTAGATTGGAGATAGGGGATGTCGCCTGCCTCCACCTCTGTGACCCCGAAGACACAGACAAAGCTCCAAGTGGCATCAATGACTCTCTAAAAAGAATGCAAAGGACCAGCTGTCGGCAAGGAATATAAATCTATCCATTCTCCACCGTCCAGTCAGAGCTGAAGCTTCTTGGATAAGAAGCGAAACGTTCTCAAAAAAAACAAAAAAAAAAACAAACTCACAAATGCTACAAATGTCGGAAATGATTTCCAAAGAGAAATTGCCTCCTGAAAAAAAAAAGCAAAAAAAAAAGCACCTTTGGGACAACCATGACCTGGATGACTGAGAATCTCTGTAGACAAAAGGGCCATCAGTTGCACACCCATACCCTATGGCAGTGGTGGCTAACCTTTTTTGGGGGGCTCCTGTGCCAAACATTGTGTGCACGCTTGCATGCTCGCGCTCGCGTGCCAGCACCCAGAAGGCAATACGCCCCCCTCGCATGCACACGCAATCCCCACCCGCCCACCTATGCCCGCCCCCTTACCTGAATTGCGCCTCACAGGTGCTTTTCGGCTGGTTTGAGGCTTTTTTTTCAGCCTCCCAGAGGCTTGAGGAAGGTTTCTGCAGGCTTTGCAGGCCGAATACTAGGTCCGTTTTGTCACTTCCAGTATTTCCGGAAAAACAAGAAGTGATGAAACGGGCTTTGAAGGCCGAAAACTAGGCCCGTTTCATCACTTCTGGTATTTCCAGAAAAAAACAGAAAGTGATGAAACGGGCCTAGTTGTCGGCCTGCAAAGCCTGCAGAAGCCTTCCTCAAGCCTCTGGGAGGCCGAAAAAGGCCTCAAACTGGCCGAAAATCAGCTGTGAGGCGCGCACATGCGCCGTGAGGTAAGTTTGCCTGCAGCTCGCGTGCCGGCACAAATGGCTCTGCATACCACCTGTGGCACACATGCCATAGGTTCGCCATCACGGCCCTATGGCTTCCCTTTCCTGGACAAAGGACCCTTTAGCTGATAACTGTTGGAAACAAAATGGTGACTCTCTAAACCGCTTAGAGAGGGCTGTGAAAGGGCTGTTAAGCGGAAGGGCAATTGATATTTATATATTACATGTAGTAAGGACCACCAATTTCTACCTACCACTCAGCGTCACATCACATTCGGCAATAACAACGTTGGGCACCGGCGTTTGCTGATGGGTCTGCTGATGTCTCATGAGGGTTGAGGACCATCCAAAGGAGTTCCCGCAGTCCAAGTATCTGTAAGGTTTTTCCTTGTTATGGACCCTGAAATGCTTCAGAATGTCCGACAATTTTTCAGCTTGGTAGCCGCATTTGGTGCAGGCATGCATTGTCGTGTTACGATGTTTGGAGGCCTCGTTCGCCATTTGTCCTTCCTCCTGAGAGACCGTCGGAGGAAGTTGATCATCGCAAGGTGGGTATGCCCCAGCTTCCTCTTCCAATTTGATGCTTTGTTGGAGGGGTCCTGTACTTCTCGGCTCTTCTTCCCCTATAAAGGGACAATTGACAATTTTAAGATAGGCAATGCTGTGAATCTTATCAAGTCTAGCTAAAAGCGGCGGATCGGCTTGCTGGTTCAAATCACAGTGAATGTTAGCGCAATGAAGGGAAGGCCATAACAAACCTGGAAATGAATCAAATCTGAAAGCAGCTTTTTACCAATTGTTGCCCAAGGCGAGAAAGAACAAGCACTCTTTAATTGGAATCGTAGCTCGGAGAGAGTGCATGGGGACTGTTCTCTAATTTATTAACAACACACACACACACCTGCCTTTCAGAATAAGGTCTATCCAGCAATTAAAAAGCCAGGAAAAAAAAAAAAGACCCTTCGATCAAAAGAAGGAAAAAGGACTCGGCCTTCGTCCACCTGCTTTTGGGGGAAGAAAAGATTAAAAAACAATTCAGTAGGAAAATATCAATTGTATGTGTTTTGGTTTTTTTTTGAAAACATAAAAGTGATTGTACATTTCTCTACCTGTCAATATTTATTGTTAAAAGTGTGAATTTCATATCAAAGGTCTAGTAGACCAGAGGTCTCCAAACTTGGCAACTTTAAGACTTGTGGACTTCAACTCCCAGAATTCCTGAGCTGACTGGAGGAGGAATTCTGGGAGTTGAAGTCCACAAGTCTTAAAGTCGCCAAGTTTGGAGATCTCTGGTCTAGACTCTAGATCCTAGTCACTAAGCCCTGAAAACCCAACACTGCCAGAAGTTAATTTATAATGTATTGCGGAGAGGAAGAAAGTACAAGACGAACAATTCTGCTATATAAAGACCGATGGGTTTTCTCGCCACATAGCCAACATTTTTACTGGTAAGCGTTGAATTCATAAAGAGGACAAGAATAAAGAATGTTGGCAACAAGATCCTGAAGAGCTCTCTCTCTCTCTTTCTCTCTCTCTTGGAGTGGAATGGTAAGAAAATTGCTCAGGGTAGATAGAAAATGTCAGATTCAGTAAAAAAGGCCAACATAATAAAAGACAGAGAGGCAAAAAAAAAAAAGAGAGAGAGAATGATTCATTATTAGCCAGGTCATCACACCTACCTCGACAGGGAATCTTCTCCTCTGCAAAAATAGACTCGAAAATGGGCCTCTTTTTACGACATGCAGTGCCTTTCTCATGTCGACAAAGATTAGATGGACTGCTGAAGGCTTTCCCACAATCAGAGCAAGCGTAGGACCTCTCCCCTGTACGGACGGTCCTGCGTTCAATGGTTTTGGAAAGCTCGGTAGCTCTACGGTCACAAACATCGGGGCCCTTGGATTTCCCTTTCTGAGGGCTCGGGAGTTTCTTCAGCATCACCTGTAAGGTTTTCAGCCCATACATTTGAGAGCGCTCCACTTCTTGGGACTTCCTCGGAGGCAGCCTGGAAACGGGGTTAGCCTCGCTGACAGCAATCAGCGAAACCGTAGAGAGCTCTCCCAGCAATTCCAGAGGAGACTTTTGCGCCTGCGTAGAATTGCTTTGGCCCTGATTAGATTCACTGGCACCTACGGGAACAAATAGTACAACCACCTGCATTAGCAATAGAAGGGAGAGGGGAGAAAGTAGAGGTGGAGGAGGAGGAGGAGAAACGACTTCTGGGGAAGAAATGGAGAGCAGAGAGGAGAAGGGTGGCAGAATCAAGAACCAGTGAGTAGACCAGCTATTTGTCATTCCTCTCCAGGCAAGGAGAGAGCTTGAGATGGCCCTCAAGTGCTCTGGACAGCTGTACCGCATGAGGAGATGATAAGACCAGCGGTCACCAGTAGCGTTAAAGCAGTGGGAGACGAGAGGTTCCCATCCTTGTCCAAACCACGGTCGGTGCCGTTAAGAGGGGACTGGGTTTGAATGACATCCTCTTTGAATCATTTTCAAAAATTCCTTGTTCACTGCTTTTCAGATCGTAGGAACCTTCCAAATGGCAAGATTGACTACCTTGGGTGAGATTTCCTTCAATCCTTAGCGAGAGAAGTTTTAAATACAAATAAAAGGACTTAATACTTTTTTGGGGGGGAGGGGGAATAAACAGCCGTGGGGTGATTAGAACTTTTGATTTTGGAAAGTTACAAACCGACTAAGTTTCCACGTGAATTTGAGAAAAAAAAAAGATTCTCAAACGAATTAAATAAGAATCCTTCCTATGGGAAACGGCTGTTGTTTTGAATACTTTAAAAAGAGAGAGAGAGAGAGAGAGAGACAAAATGGCATTTTAAAAACCGGACACTAGACGGAGTCAGAAGGAACTAAATAGTACAATTAAAGAAGAAAAACCCTTAAAATTTGACTTACTATTATTACAGAATGGAACGATGCTTTTAACCCTGGACATCTTGAAGGATATTTGTGAACAATGGGCCCAGATTTCTTGAGAAATTCATTTTAAGGGTCTGCTTCTACAGACAGACTATATTTAAAAGAGGTTATTTGAAGAGAAAGAAGTTTTACCTGACAAGATTAAAAGGTCATCCTTCCAATCAATGAACTCGGAGAAGTCAGGACTCTTGATAGTTGGATTAGGTTCAGAAAGTCCTTTATTGAGTATATCGTTGTTGGCCATTAGGAAGGTGAAGCTAACTCTAAATCACTTAGGAATAAGTTAAAAGAATAGGACACTCCCCTCCTCTGTCTCTTTTAAGTCACATGGGCCAATCAGATCAGCCACAGATTCCCGGTCAGCTCCGACAGGTGTCCGTTGACATAGCCTTGGTTCTGTTAGATGTTTTGACTAGCAGTTGAGGGACCACATTCCTAAGTTCCCTCATTTCCCCCCCACCCGGGAATGGCAACCAAGAAACCAAAAAGAATGAAGCCTGAGAAAGCCTGAGAAAGCCTGTTTTGCCGGTTGACAATTAAGACTGATCTGAAAATGGATTTTAAAATAATAGGCCGCAGCAACGATGTGGAGAAAGAAGTTATCCTGGATACACAAATGAAACTGGCTGAAGGGTAACACAAAGGAAAAGAATTTGACCTGGATCATTTTCTTACGTTGGGATTTACAAAAGTGACATTAGAATTTAGAAAACATTGATGAGGAAAGACAAGCAAAAATGACGGGGGTGGGGAAATCAAGCTCTAGGACATTATTTGAGGGGAGGTAAGCGTCAAGATTATTAAAAGTATAAAGTTAAAGGAAATAAAAAGTTCAAGATTGTTAAAAGGAAGGAATGTAAAATCGTTTTATTTAATCAAGGTTAAAATAGATATGTTGTTATTTCCAGTAACCCTTAGTGGACTTTGGCTGACCGAGACTAAAAAATGAAGCTTTTTTTTTTTTTTTTTTTAAAAAGATAGATGAGATGAGATATGGGAAGAAGAGAACATTTATTCTAGTTTAAGAAAAGGTGATGAGTTACTAAAACTGTTTATACCTGTATTACCCCAAGAAAAGGAATTTTTTTAAAAAAAACAAACCCAAATGAATGAAGACAAACATTAAGAAAGTCATCCGGTAACATTAACTGAACAAGTCATGCTGGCTAGGGAATTCCAGGAGTTGAAATCTACCCATCTTAAAATTGCTGAGGTTGAGAAATCGTGATTTCAGACTCTTCCGGTTTGAAGTCTCTTCGGCGACAGACAGAAATCCGCGATCGTGCGCGGTTTCTGTCTGGGCTCGCCACTGGAGCGCCCCGAGCCGGCTGGTTTTGGGGCTAAGCCACCTCATAGAGGTGGTGAAGAGGGGGGAAACCGCCAGCAGGGTCGAGGAGAGCCACATCTCTCCTCCTCAGCTGGCCATTACTCCCTTTCCCGAAGGCGGTTGCAGCGGTGGTCAGAAATGGCCACCACAAAGAAGAACTTGACCGGAAAAGAATGTGCAGGAGGAAGATAAGAAGTGAAAGTTTTGGCTGACCGGGTTAAACTGTAAAAGCAACAACTAAGGTACCCTGGAATTTAAACTTACAAAAAATAACATCGCTCCCAAAGAAGAGTCGGAAGCAGCGAAGGAAAGTGAAAAGGGAAAGGTGTGGCTTTTTTTTCTTCTTCTCTCTCCTTCCCTATACTGACAACTAAGAGACTTAAATAAGAAATAGGAAAAATCCACTTTGACTTCAATAGGCAATTAAGCTGAAAATAAAACAAAATGCCAAAGGGATAATAAAGATTTCTGGACATCAAAAACTTTCTTTTTCATAAGCAGGAAGGGAGAGAAAAAGAATAAGGGCAGGATCTGGAAGAGGGAGGAGAGTGCCTGGAATTAAAAATAATCTAAAGTAAAACTTCAACAAGACTTCTAAAAGGTACAATTTAATTGAAACTTTGCAACTAAATAGTAACCCCAGGAAGAGAAAGTGAAAAAAAAGAGCAAAAAAGAAACAGCTTGCGTGTATTTGGATTATTTGGTTATCTTTGGATTTTTGGTTATTATATTTGAATGACTAAAATCAATCAGGTGGTTGTTTAAAAATTTATACAATGGCACCACTTCTGGATGAATTGAAAATGGAGCTTAAAAAGTACAAAGAAGATGCACAAGAAGGTAAGGGTTCTTTTGGCTTCGTTTTTCAATTCTTAGAAATGGAGATTTGGAACTATGAGAAACAACAAGAAACGACTGCAAAACAAGAAGACTGGGACAAAGAAGAAGCCATCTTTAATGAACAAGTAATTTTATGTGGGGAAGAAAAAGGAAAGGGGGGAAAGAGAATGGAGAATTTAAGACTTAAAAAAACAACCAAAGAAAAGAAAAATAATTTGAAAAATAAGTATAATACTGGAAAGCAACAGAAAAGGGGAATACAGAAGAGAGAAATAGAGGTAGAGAGACAAGGGGGTAAAAAGGGGAGAGAGAAGGAGAGGGAAGAAGGAAAGGAAAAGAAGTTACAAAGGACCGGAGCAAGATATAGAGAAACAGGACCTATTTAGAGATAATGGGTGAAAATCTAACTGAAAAGGGGATTCTGTAAAGGTACATAAGATTGTATTGTTATATTAGTAATAGAAATAACTTTAGAAAATTGGAAACAATGTATGATGTAATTTAGTGAAATGTTTGAGAATAAAATAAGTGAAATAAAATAAATGAGAAAATTGAATTAGGAAGGAATGGGAACATTTTAATTAGTTAATGTTTTATAAAATATAAGTGAAGAGGGGGGGGAATTAACTATGGAAAGCTTATAATTGTTCCCATAGAAATATGATATTTAATTGAAAAGTAATGTTAAAGATGTTAAGACTTTAATGAATATTAATATTAATGATGGAATTGAATTGGAATGGAATGTTGTTTTAATTATATACATTTATAATTTTTTTCTTTTTTTAAGAATAGAGTGTGTATTTTAAGAATGTACCAAGCAGAATCCGAATGGAAGTTATGTATTATATTGAATGTTACAACTTTAGGGAAAAGATATAAAGGTGTCATACTCCAATCAGTAACTACAGGAGAAATTTTGTTTAATGAGAAAAGATAATAGATAATTGAAACAGGACAGACGAAAAATATAAATACAATGATTCGAATTGAGATGAGATAATTAAAATAAAACTGAAAAAATTAAAAGAGGGGAGAAGCTATGCAGAAAATGTAAAAATAGTAATAAGATATGGAATAGAATATAAAAATGAGCATGAACCTGAATTTGTGTCTGTACGAAGAAATGTAACCCGGGATTATGCTGCTTTCAAAAAAGATGTTTTATTTGTATTTTTTTCTCTTTGTGAAAACTCAAATAAAATTTACAAAAAAATAAAATTGTGATTTGATGTCTTATAATCTCCATCCCCCTTTTTCTTTATCCCCAGGAAAGGAGACAGACAGACAGACAGACAGACACAGACCTCTAATTTGGAGTGGCCTTCACTGCTTTCCATGAAGAACCTTCCTGGTTCAATCTTCAGCATCTCCAAGTGGCGTTGGAAGACACGTGAATTAAAACTCAGGGGGGGAAATATTGCAAGGCACTGTTGACATGCCTGAAGTAGGTGCTTTTTTTTTTTTTTCAGGAGGCAATTGGTCTTTCTGGGTTGTTTTTTTCTTTTGAAGATGTTTCACTTCTCATCCAGGAAGCTTCTTCAGCTCTGACTGGATGGTGGGGAACGGAAGGATTTATATTCCTTGCAGAGAGCTGGTCGTTTGCATTCTTTTAGAGAATTCTTGGGGGCACTTGGAGGTTTGTCTGTGTCCTCAGAGTCACCTGAGTGGTGCAAATGACTGTGGAGCCTCCTTGGAACTGCCGAAAGGACTGTGTTTGTAGACTGGAGATAGATGTCGTCTCCCTCCCCCTCTGTGAACCCGGAGGACACAGATAAACCTCCAAGTGGCCTCAACGACCATCCATTTTGCCATCTTCTTCATCTCTTTCCTTCCAACTATGGCTGCACACAGTATTCTCTGGGATCTTCCCTAACACCATAATTCAAAAATATCCATATTCTTTTGTCTATCCTGCTTCCGCTTCTTCAAAATCCCACTTGCAGTTCTTTAGTATCACAGGTAAAAACCGCTGCCTTGCGGGATTTCTCAACTTTCCAAGGGATTAAAACTATTCCAATGTACTCTGCATGGAAACTGCCTTAAAAAGACCACTGCAATGGGTCCAAAATGCCAGCTTTTGACTGCTACTAGTTGTTATAAAACCATATGACGTCCACCTGGAAGATCCTGAATTAGCTACCAGTAACCTTTCAGGTGCAATTCAAAAATGCTAGCAGCTTGGCACCCTGGCTTCTGCATTATTTCTCCAGAACAGAGACTGACTTTCTGTGTGATGGCCTTCCAGAAGTTTTTAAAGACTGACCTCTTCCAGAGAAACTTCAAGAGAATGACTGTTCACCATTTTTACCCAGGCCTGATTGAGCAACAATGGAAGACGGTGCTTGTAGCTCAAGAATTGACAGGAGGGGTCCTTGATCTCTGAGCTTGGTTGGATTCTTGCAGATGTTTCATTACCAAACTAGGTAGCATCATAAATTCTGTACAATATACATTAATTAGCATTAGCCACTAATTCTACTCTAATATGCTGCCAGAAGCCAAAGGTTTGATGGCAGAAGCAAGCAAGGAAGGAAGGAAGGAAGGAAGGAAGGAAGGAAGGAAGGAAGGAAGGAAG